GCCCTTACTACAAGTTATCTTAAAGAGTAGCTCAAGAATAAGCTTGGAAAGAAATTTGGCGCTGTTCCGTTCAGTAGTTAGGGTAATACGGTACTTAACTTCAAAGTCCTTTTTTAAAACGTTTTGACCCACCCTGTAAATACGGTTAAAGATAATTAAACTTTTTTTGCACCAAAATGATCGGGGTGATTAGACCTTTAAATTGATGTATCACACAACCTATGTTTACATTTGAAAATTTCTCAAAAAGCACCCCTACCCCCCAAATTGGGCCCTTTTGGGGCATTTTTCAAAATTGAAAATAATTTTATTGGATTTGGCATGTCCAAATTAGGGGGAAATGAGAACAAACAAGTGTTAAAAGCCTTACCTTTGCACACAACAGATATGGAAAGTTTTCAAATGAACACCCTGTATAATTTCTTAATTAACTGTTGCACCCTCTTGGTCAGGTAGTTTGCCTAAAATGAGGCAGCGTAGGGGTTGGGCCGTGCGGCGCGCGCCGCACCGTGTGAAAGCTCCCATAAGAACCAATGCACCTTCACCGAGTTGTCCGGCGTGGACGCCGCGCGGCGCTGTCGTCCGGCTCAAGGTGCATCCGGCGGTAACTCGCGCGCCGTGCGGCGAATTCGCCGCGCGGCGCGCGCCGGACATAGTGTGAAAGGACTCATATACTCCCATAGCCCTACGCCGGATCCGGCGGGCGCCGCACGGCGCGCGCCGCGTCGTGTGAAAGAGGCGTATGAATCAATTTAACTTCTCTCAAACCCCCAAATCAACCTAAACTAGTGGCTCAAATGAAGGGGAGGAAACGAACCAGTGAAGCCCAATTGAGACGATCCGATTGTCGCGATAACACAATCGTCAGCGACGCGTGATTATTTGATATGTGGCGCTGTAGTCGTGGAAGTAGGGAGAGGTGTTTGGAACAATCGATTTATACAAACAATCGCACCACTCAACACATGGGGGTGTCACACATGATTTTGGATACTGAAGAAGACAACCCATTCATATGGATCAGATGTAGAAAATAGGCAAAGTAAAATTTGAAAAATAAAATAGATGAATGACCGTCTCACAGAGAGTATTATTGTCCAAAATTATAATTGATTTCTAGTTTTTAATACTGTGCTCCAATGGTTATCATGACAAGAAAGACATTACAGTTTTCAATAAGTGGTTCTCTAAATTTTTATTCGTCGTAAATTTGCTTTATACCATTTAACTCATTAAGTAAATTTTTATTGTAAAATCAGCAACAGATTGTGAGAGCTAGCTTCTTTTATCCATGACCACTTTTGTTTAATTGTTATGAAACTGCTTTAACTATTGACATTTTATCTAATTGACACTAATTAATTAGAAATTATTTTTATTTGTATGTATTAAAGTTTGATTACTAAATCTGTAAGTGTACTTCTACCGGGCTTATTCTCTGTAGCTTATACCAAATAAGGGTGGATAAATTTCATCATATAAATAATTATCCTCGTAAAAATAAATGTACTGTGAAAAATCATCCCTTCGAAGAGATTCTCACACCATACACAATTTTAAATCCAAATTACATGTGATTACTAATTGGCATTGGTAAAATATTTCTATTAATGACACAATAAATTAACTTAAACATTGTGTATGTTAAGCCAACATTCAATAGAAGATGAAACTTTATCTCGGGAAATTCCACTAACACAAATACTAATTCACGGCAGACATGTTTATGGAAAAACCGCGATGTCATCGTGAGAACGGATTTATAAGAATCTGGAGCATTAACAGCTGTTTTGTCCACTAATGTGTTTGCGCCCGCAGTGCCAGGATCCCAGACAGCATGGTGCGCAACAACGCCGCAGGGCATTCTGGGTAGATAAAACAGCGACTGTTGTGACAAGGTTGTCATCATTATCGGACAATCTAGCCGCAGGGGATGTGAGAACTAACTGTTGACATGACAGTGGGCGAGTGTAGGTCTAAACTAAATAGTTCAAGGAGAGAAAACTGTGTGCGGAAAATATTGTCGTATCAGCTGGCGGTGTTTACGAGTAGTATCGTGAAACGTGTATTCCTAAAATAATTCTTTATGAAACAATTCTTTCAATTGCTTGTGTTATAGTGTTAAAAATATTAACATATAATTGCAATCGAACTGACACCATAGGAACAAATTTTGCCATTATCATCATGTTTTCATTGTTTAATTATAAAACCCTTGTGCTAACGCCTTAAGATATTGTTTTTTGGAAACAAGGTAGAAAACTCACAAGTGTTTGATATACTGAATCAATAGGTTGAGAATTGCCGGCTCATCCCTTGCTTTGCTTCATATTCGCCACACATTTATGTAAAATTCCAAATAGATGACTGGTTGACTTATCCCTTTCAAAATTACATATGGTTTCTTGACGAGCAGAGGAATGCCTCGGAAATTATGTTATATAATGTTTAATATACATTATTAGTTCTCAAAACTAGACTACAAAGCTACATGAGGTACAGCCGAGAAAGGCTGCATTGCAACAGTAGCTATAGCTAGTACAGTAGCTAGCTGTCCATCCGGCGAGCAATAGTTCAAGTCCAGTCACGACTCGCCATCGCCAGTCGCCACCTCATACATCCACACTTATTATGTATGTATGTTTCGTAATATATTTGCCACGCCGACACTATACTCGGGTAGTACAACATACGATCCGTGCTACGGTGCTACGCTCCACAGTAGTCGACAACTTGTGAGAATTTAGTTTGAAATCATTACTACTACTGTACCTAAAACAGAATTGATAAATGGCGAAACTTTCCTTAATTAGTTTTTCCCAATTAGACAATGTTTTAACCAAGTTATGCAGAGTGTTTAAAATGCTTTACTATTTTGACAAATTGTGGAGGTTTGGGCTAAGATATGGAAATATAATTTACCAAAATATTTCAAAAGTCTTCTAACCTATAACAAACTAGTTCCAATATCACTTCAACTGGTGATTTATAAATCATAATAAGCTTGATTTATATTTGAGGGGAAGTTGGTAACAGATACTTTGAATTGCTGTTCAAGAAATCTCGATAAGGTAAACAATGGTTTCTTAAAAAACACCTAAACATAAAAACATATGTAGAGCCCGAAGAAGTGTGTATAGCCTTCGCGTATTGCAGACACCCAGTATAGCTCAGACACTCAGAAAAGACACCCAGATTTCAATGCTAATACTTGTACAAATACACTCAGGATCAAAGGGTTTATTTAGTAACATAAAAACCTGAACTATATAAGTAGGAAACGCCTCCTGTATGGACCATGTACAAACCATGTATGGACCATGTATGTGTGTGTAAAAAGGTTAAACGTCTTCAATATGTGATATTTATACGGTATTAGCACAAGTTTTTCAAACTTTAGTTTTTGTACAATACGTTTGTGAATTTAATACTCAAAACAAAGTTGCTATCGCGAATGCTCAAGTGTGACCGCCATCATTGTTGCGGGTTTCCTTGGCAAACAATGAAGAAGTTTCCACCGCACAATTGAGTGGCTACAGACCAAGGCGGAACGATGGAACGGACCATTGTACCTTCCACCGTTCCTTTTCCTCCGTTCCGTCAGTATGGTTCGGTGTGTTTTCCGCTAGTTCCCCTAATGCACACGGGGAGCGTTGCATGTTAAATATTCATCACGGTTTCTTCACCTCCTAATTATCAGTATCCTGTTTTCCCTTTGTTTCGTCTTCTGACCATTTCCACGGCCCTATTTTGTATTCCATAACGCGGAGTGTTCCGACATTTCCAAAAATAAACAATGGACTGTCGGTCGACAATACAATTAACTGCGTAATTGCAGCATTCAATTGTTCGATTGAGTTTTCCCTGAGTTGGTTGATGGTATCAGCGCAAGTGTTCAGCTACGGTATTCCACATGTCTTTGTACTCAGTGTTCATAGTGTGTAAAACCAAAGTCACACTTACAGCTTCGAACTTATAAATAGAATTTAAGGTAAACATTCCATCCTCCAGGTTTAAGTTGTTATCAAATTTGTAAACAAATAAGCTAATTTGAACCACCGTTAGAGAGTGTTGGTGTTGCTGTCAAAATACAGCTACCACAAACATGGGAACAGGCTACAGTATAGCATATATTGTGTCTCTATCAACTATCATAGAATGAAAATGTGAAAGAACACGATACATCAATAGTATATCATTCTACGGAAGATGTCCAATGAAGGTGGGATGTCTACTTTAGTATCCGAAAATAATGCATACAGTTCATGTAAACTTACGATTAAGATATTGTAACTTAAACTACTGTTATATGGACGGTTAGGAGATATTCTAAAGGTACGAGGTGCATTGGAACTTTGGTGGACGATTGGTGAAACGTTTAAAAACCAAAACAGTAACATAAAGCAAATAATAGTAAAGGGCAGGGGTTAGTAAGATAAATAAAAGTATAAACAATTGATCCAGTTGTAAAAAAAAATTATGAATGTGTAACGTTTTCAATAAATGTAAAAAAAATATTTATTAAAAAAACATTAAGGTACTATAGAACGATTATATTATAAAAATGTGTGTTTGTTTTATATGCTTGTGGTTTTAAAACAAGTTTGGTCTCCAATACTATTTGTACCTCATTAAGACGGTACATCGTAAACATTCCAGCAATTTAATGTAAAAATGCTTGTTAAGAATCGTTAATATTAATTTAAATTATATGCAATTAATTTCTTGGTATATTGTTGATTCAAGTTTGGTAAAAAGTACGAATCTGGGCTCAGCATAAACTTTAGCACATGAACAAGTTATGTGCTTTGATCTTTAGGGGTGGTTCTAGATAGCAAATGAGTGTGCTTGTAATACTACTGTACCTTGAAACTTGGAGATAAAATTGAACAGTGGAAAATTAAAAGTAAGAGATGGTAGAAGGTTATCAAATCAGTTTCAACTGGATCAAATCAACTTAAAATAAAGGTTAAACAAAAACAAACAAAACAAAAACTCACCAGCGCTAGTTCGAGATTTACTCTTAGCGGCAGACGAGTACTTGACCAAGGAGTTGTTGGAGAGGGAGGAGGAGGTGTTGTTCTGATAGTACCCCTTGTTGTAGAAGGATCCGTGGGAGTAGGAAGGGTAGGAGTCCTGAGGATAAGGTTGGTAGCCCTGGCTGGTGTGAGGGTAGGCGGGGGAGGTCGTGCCGGAGGAAGAGGTCGAGGTACCTTCACGCTGCTTGGACGACTGCGAGTTGAGCATGGGTTTGATGTCACACGACGACGCCTGGTCAGGATGGATAAACACACCCATGGAGGCGGCGTGGACGATGACGTTGGAGTAGTCGTTGGCGTTGGACGTCGGCGTCCCCTTGGACATGTAATCCGAAGACGTCGGTGTAGATAGCGCGTTGGAAGTGGACGCCGTCGGGACACTGTCAGGGTCCGGGGTAGCGTCCTTAGGTGGTGTGGGGGGAAAACTGAACATGGCGTGGGACACCGAGGACACGGGGTTGTGAGGCGACTTGGCGGAGGCGGGGGTGTCTTCGCTGGACGACTGGACGGGGTTGAAGGGCGAACACCACGAAGACGCGGTGGAGGTGGAGGGTGGGTGCCCGTTCTGGGGGTAGGAGAGCTGCTTGCTGTCTGACCCTGATATCCAAGGGTGATGGCTGAAGTGAGGTCTGCACACTTGCCTCGCCGCCGCTGCAACAGACAAAACACCCGTTAAAGTATCAGCAAGCAGCTCTCGCCCCACAGAAGTACTTCTTACCTCAACATGATAACATAGACATTTAATTAAATACAGGTTTTAATATACCGGGAAGGTCAAGGAGGAAATGTGGACGTGTATTCTAGCAACCATCCTGCTCGTGGCTAGTTCTTTTCGTGGCTATTCCTATTTTATTGCATCATAGCTCAATTGATACACACTGCAATAATTGAGAAACAGTAGCTCAGCTACAAAAGTGTAGACCTGCTAGGGAACTTTCCGTGAGACCTGAACATAAGCCACTAACTCTCTTTTTATGACAAATTCAACTGAGATATCAAATTAGTACCAGTACGAGGCCAAGTGCCAAGATGCTACTTTGCTCAAGTTGGCCGGCACGCGCTGCGGCTGCAGTGCAGTTCGCGTAAGTGATGGTTGTAAAGGCATTAAGGACAATTGGGGAAACAATGCACAGGTGTGGTTATCAATTAGTGAGGTTCGGCCGCAGCTTGTGCAGGTGCGGACTGATTCATCGTTTCCTGCGGACAGGTGCGGTAACGGCTCACTCGCCCAAGGATGATTGCGGTCAACTTAAGTATTAGGTAAGTCCGGGCTTGGAGTAGCAAAACCCAAACAGCTGATATTTGACAAGGTATATATGACAGGGTCGAAAGTCGTTAACTGGTTTAAACTCAATTAAATATAAATTAACAAACAATGTTTCAAAACTAAAATAGTTTTAATTTACCTCTCAAAACTACTTCTAACTTATTTTCAATTTAATTTGCTAAAATAAACAAGCAGCTGTTTAGCAAGTCATTCAATCGTTTCGTCTATTAAGATTGTGTTAGTGTGTGTACATTATACTATCGTCACTATCGATATGTCGAACTATTTACAATAAGGCAACAATTAACTGAAATCGATTTAAGAATCTGTACATACTTTCGACACATGCAATTTTATTTACAAACGAAATTTACAACTGAGCTGACAGAATCAGCAGCAACCGAAATACTTGAATCACTTACTAAACAGATAGCTGCTTATTTAGCAGGATATAAAAAAGCTAGATGTCGTTTTGAGAGGTAATTTTTACAAACTATATATATATTTTTAGTTTTATTATTGGTAACTTAGTTTTCTTAAATTATGGTGCAAAGTGACGTAAAATATAGTTCATCACACGTGCAAAAAGCTCGAAAAGAGTCAATAAACGACATAGTTATGAAATATACTGTTCTACAGATCGTCGCGTGCTTAATAAGCTAAATTTTCAGACTTGTTATGACATTTCCAACGTGTGATATTTTAATACCATCGCGATTGAGGGCTACAAATAACCTGATGACACATAAGTAAGTTCACCGTAACAACTCGATAAATATCAATGCTAAAACTGAAAGAACGACCTCGGAAGGCCAAGATAAAATCGATCCACAAATAAGTCCTGCAAGAAGGTTAGACACCGAGAGTTTGTAAACATACTTGAACGCAAAGGGCGATCGACTGTAACCACAAACTGTTCGACAACTTAATTTTACCGTTACATTATCAATTCAATATGCGGTGTGGGGAAGATATTGATCTGGCTTAGCTGGCATGTGATACAAATACACTCCCCTCACACGACCAGCCATAACATTAACTGGTGGAATCGTTACCCCTTCCATCCCCCACTTCCCACCTACTACAACCACCTTCCCACCCTTAATGTCAATACACGCTCGCGTGAAGGTCTTCATTATGCTATATAAATATATGATTGCGTTCTCTACAATGTGGGTGCGCTTGTGCTGTAGTTGTATGTTAACAAATGAGTTTCAAGATAGGTCTACAGCTTGTAAACAAATAGTTCATACACAGTATTAGGAAGTTGCAGTATAGTATGTGATGGATTCAAAAACGGATTTGTATACTGTACAAACGATTTCTTACATTCTCTGAATTGTTTTTTGAATAATACAGAGCTCGGTTGACAAAATATTGAGCAGAGATGGATTCGAAAATATACATTTTTGGATTCAACTTATTCCTTCACTAAACGTTATGCAAAATAGAAAAGGTTATTAGATACAGTATTTTACTGTGGTTTGTAATAATGTTTACATTTACTTTTTTTTTGTTAGCTAATGTTTTAATAGATCTGCTCTTAAATTGTAGGGTTCCTGACTATTTAGTACTATATACAATGTCAGACTTATTAACATACATATATTCCTTCGGGATGAAAAATTTAATGTGTATTATTTTAGAGACAATAGTAAACTAATGCCATAAACTTTGAATACTGCTGTTAGACCCGTAATACTTCAGTACAATAATAAGTTGGTATTATTTTGGTTTTCTAAGGTTGGTGTTTAACTTCTGTTTAAAGTTTTATTTAGCACGCATTCAAGACAACAAATAAATCGTTCTTAATTATCATATTAGTTAGTAGGTAAAAAAACAATGGTTAGCATCGCTACAATGACGTTGTCTTTAGCAGAACTGCAAGGATTGTAAATTTGATGAAGAGAGTATGTTCAACACATGCGTTAGCTAAACAAACTCATTACAACTCCCTGTCAAGCTTGTAAAGGCCCGCAAGCACTGTTTTAGCAGATTTTGCAAAGTTTCCAGACAAGCGGCAGTAGAGAGATCGGTCGCTAGTTTACGTAATCTCTCTGTTTACATTCGGCCCCAGCTCACGTCCGCCACATAATGCCGACTCGTCGTGGCCAATGAGCGCGCGCCTCGATTGACGAATCGCGTCCTCTGTGACAAGTGTTTTTGTCCTCCTTAATTACTCATCTGGCCGGGATTTACGAGCTTGTCGCTGACTCGTCCTTTTTTAATGTACATAACCGGGAATTTCATTTTTATGTAAATGTAGCTTTTTATCGGCCCCGGTTTATTGCGGGTTTTTGTTGCTCGGCCATTGGCACGAAGCGTGATATTTTTCGCGGATTGGGTTTTTGTTTTGTTCCACCATTGTTGCCGCTGAAGGTCTGTGGTTGTATATTGGAGTGATAAAGTGATTGAGTTGATTATTCCTTTGGCTATGTAGCTACGCTATTCCGTTTACATGTTAAAGTTGTAGCCAGGTTTAGAATTAAGAACTTAATTTGATTGAATCGCTATAAAAGTAAACTGCTATAAAATACAGTTATCCTTATTTTTACGTAATCTTTTAAATCATGCCAAAATAAAAAGACATGTTTGTTGCGCTTGAGTGTCCCATAGTATGAACCGCTTGAAAAGGAAATAAATCGTTGATAATATAAAAACGATCTTTTTTAATTTTTATTTATACACAATTTATAAACAATTTAATTTTTTTTTATCTTTACTTTAACTCCATGGGAGAAGTTGAAACCACTATGTTCTCTTTGGAAATTGACCACAACTGGTCTACATAGATGAAATATTTACTTCAGTGTCCAAAAGTAAATGGTTAAGAGTCTATGATTTTACCGATGTTGATTCATCATTTATACCGAAATAGTAATACGACTTTGGTTGGGATTCGTAACTCTATCAACTAATAGTTCATTGTTAGAAACATTATGGCAAGTATCTCTTCAACTAAATGATGAACTGTAAACACTAAATCACACACAGACTAGCAGATAATTAGAAATATTAACAATATTTATATTAATGGTTAATCACCGTAACTTAAAGAAAAATTGGCTTTAGAGGGACAAAATAAGGAGGTAGGTTTAGGAAAAGTATTGAAAGATTTTGTTTTTAATTGTTTTAAAATTAATTGACTAAAATTTTTCTGTTTACAAGAGACAAGCCCACCTAGGAAGATCGTGTCCAAGTGCGTGTGAACACCAGGGACACAAGGGGGTAACATAAGCAGTGTATGAGGGCACCTCCTTGTACGAGGCGTGGGACATCGTACTAGACTTGCTAATTGGGGGATGAACACTGTTACGGATGTTATTTTAATTAATACAAATTTTAACTGGGAGATAGTTCTAAGGTAACAGAGAAACTTTGTCCGCACTAAAAGACAAAATGATTATCAATAGAAAACTCTAAATAATTAGAAACATTTGTTCTGCATATTCATGAATATATGAAAACAAAATACCTCAGGTAAAAGTGTTTATTTGACATACAACTATTCTTCACCTCTATAGTGATAGTGTGTAGTGTGTAGCACGTTGCCGCGGACACGCACGCCTAGCCACAGCCAATGGCCAGCCGTAGCGGACAAATATGGCCGACGGCCTCTGAACAAATGCTGGAAACATGAGGCCCGTAATGAGCACAAGCATGGGCTGCGCAAATAATTAGGCATGGAAATGGCCGGGTCGTAGCGACTAGCGCGCCATGACTGGTGACCGACGACCGTGACGTGGACGTGGTGTGAAGTCATAGATGAACAAAACTGACACCGTGTGGAAACTGGGCAAATTGTGTTTAACGTGTGTATAATTGTGTATAAGAGGAAATATTGTGTATAAGGTAAGAGAGGAAATATAGACGAAAGCACCGTTTATGTGACAATCACTAAAAGTTTTCTAACTAAACTGGAATAGAATCAAGCGTATCGTGGAGGTTGAAATAATTTGATAATCGACGCAACATCCCTTACGTCAAAAAATGTTATGAAAATCTTAAAAAATCGTCAAATTTTTGTTAGCTAGCCAAATTTGTCTTACTCGCATCAAAGTTCGAGATGTTAACTATTATAACGCACAAAATAATTGTTTTGCTATTAAGTCTTAGTGGACAATGTTAAATTAGTTCAAAGTCATTCATGGGTGTTTGTCAAATTCGTAATAATTATCATTGAAAGAGCGTTCCTAACATACTGTATTTAAAAAATAGGAAATCCCATTTCATCTCTATCGCATTTAAAATTGCGTAGTAATTATGTTTGGTGAATGATGTTTGTAAACACAGTTATTTACCTCCTGAGTTTTCATGCGATACATTACTTACCCAATCTTTTCCGTAGGAGTTTTTTATTAATCTATAAACAAGCAAGTGATTA